ACTGAGCTAATGACGAAATAGCACTCAGCTTGGATTTATTGGTTAAAAAAAAAAAACCCATATGGTGACACTGTGGTGAAAAAGAGGATAAATGCAAAACTTATAGTTTATAAATCGTAGTGTTTTCAAAAATTACCATATTCATGGTAAGTTATGGACCTGCATGTCTGTCCGTGTTTAATTAAGCTAGTTTTGTTTTGTCTTTGTTTTTGGTAGAACAGGAAGTTCCTCCAAGGAATGAACATGTGATTCTACCAACAGCCAGCAGGTGGCAACATGAGGCAGTACTGGTTTTTTTTTTTTCCCTCCCTGTTGCCTGGCTGACAGATTGGCTTGTTCTCAGAATAAACCAAAATCAGACCCAGATACTGAAACCATGCAGAATCTTATTATTTGTGACTGACACTATTAGCAATGTGCTCAGAACCGTGTTTTAACCCATTTATGAGGAGCTGCCAAGGCCTATTGAAACTACCCAGCACTCACTCCCTTCCGTTGTCTGATATTGCTGTCCTTTTGCAACCTGAAATTGGTAGGAAACAAAGAATGATCCTGGAGTTGCGTCATCGCTGGGACTTTCAAACCAAATTACAACCATCCTGAGCAATATATTTTCTCTCTTGCAGTTCTTTCCTGCTGAATTAGTCTCATTTCACACATCTCTTATTTTCCTTTGTTGCCTTCCTTGAAACAAAAAGGAGCAAAATGAAATCCCAAGTCTTTAAAAATTGGATCCATTCTTAAGATTTAGAGATAAACCTGACTTAAATGTAGTATTTAGACAGACACAACACAGGATAAATCAGTCCTGCTAAATAGAAGGTGGCCTTGAGAGGTCTATAGGACTCTTGACCGAGCGGATAAAATAATTATCTTGTTAATTGAATATTATGAATGTGTAAGTTGGTCCTTTTAGATCATACTTGAAAAGGAATGATAGTACATGCATATGTTTTGGTGGTAAGTTATTCTAGATTTATGTCTTGGGGTTTGTTGACAGCAATAATGGGGAAATATTCCAAATTGGTCCTTGTTTAGCACAAAACAGTTTTTCCCATGATTTCATTGATTTTTTTTGAAAACATACCCAAACCTGAGGTTTTACAAAATATAATAACTATACTATACATATATATATACATATATATATTTTTATGTAAAGTGTGAGTAGCTTAAGCTAATTGGAACAAAGTTGAGGGTTTGAAGAAAATGGGTAGTTAATTCAGCAGTAAATATCTTTATTGACTTCATTTATCGTGTTTTGATCTGGTAGTAAAAGAACCATGCAGATGGTCCTTTAACGTTCCTTTCAGTACTAAGATTTTGTGAAACATCTTTTAAAGAGGAGTAGGTGGTGTAGGAAAAAATAAATGTGCTATTTCGGCTTCTAGGGAGGGGAGGGGAAGCAATTATTTTTAGAATATGTTCTAGTTACACCCAGTTTTAGAAGAAATAGAAGAGTGTATTTTAATGTCAGTGAATCCTTCAGGGGGATGAAGTCTATGGAAACACATCTTTCAAATCCTAGTCACCAAGTCTGGGATCTTTCAAACCCCAGAGAGCACACATGTAATTAAAGCGTGTGTGCACACATGTGCATCTGCGCACACACACGTGTATTACCATACAAATGGTGGGGGGTGATGAAAGCATGAACATATTAGCAAAGTTTCCTGGATACAAAGTAGCTAGACATTAGTCCACTGTTTAAGTGACAGTGCTGCCAAATTTAGCGCTCCTTATGCTGGGGAAACTTCAGAGGGAATGTAGTTGAACTATAGGAAAAGATGAAAGAAATGTTGGAATCAATTAGAAAAAAATATTGAATCACACTATTCATGTAATAGCAAGGGATTAATTGGGCAAGCTAACTGGAGCGTTTCCCCCCAGATTACAGGCAAATAGGAACTCTGCCGTAGCAGAAAATCATAGTGTTGTACGTACATTCTTGTCTTGATTTTTTTAAGAATTAAATAATCTCATAATCAAATTTTCTTGTGATGTTAACCATGATAAATAATGCACCTGTGATGCAGAATAAACTTGTCTGAGTCCCAATGGAAATTTTTGCAATGGATGGTGCTTTTATTTTTTTTTTAATTTTTTTAAAGATTTTATTTATTTATTTGACAGAGACACAGCGAGAGAGGGAACACAAGCAGGGGGAGTGGGAGAGGGAGAAGCAGGCTTTCTGCCGAGCAGGGAGCCCGATGCAGGGCTCGATGCCGGGATTCTGGGATCATGACCCGAGCCGAAGGCAGACACCCAATGGCTGAGCCACCCAGGTGCTCCTGGATGGTGCTTTTACTTGGACTCTGTGTATCATAGCATTTTCTTTTGGATGACACCAATGATTTCAGTCTTTCGAGCATTGTGCACACTCCAGCCCATGAGGAGCATGCAAGCAGTTGGATGCTCAAGGGATTTTTTTTTAATAAAAATTGTCTTGGGCGCCTGGGTGGCTCAGACGGTTAAGCGTCTGCCTTCGGCTCAGGTCATGATCCTAGGGTCCTGGGATCAAGCCCTGCATCGGGCTCCCTGCTCAGCAGAAAGCCTGCTTCTCCCTCTCCTTCTGCCTGCTGCTTCCCCTGCTTGTACACTCTCTCTCTCTGTCAAAAATAAATAAAATCTTAAAAAAAAATTGTCTTTCATTCAGACATTAGGTATTCAAACAAATGTTGATTCTGGATATGAAAGGATACTTTCTGTTATCTTTGGCAATTCCTTCCAGTATATTGAGAACAGTCGTGGAGTAGTAGTATTGAGCGTGGACTTGATATACCAGTTTATATATTAATTTGATGAAATATGTGTCTATCATAACATCAGCTTTATATTATTTAAATGCCAAAGAAAGGGACTACATCCATCCACAAACTGCTTTGTGAACTGGGTTGTTGGTTCTGTTTCTATGCATTGTTTGGAGGTTAAACAGACCAAACTTCTGACAACTTGATATTTTCTTTCCCTTTCACTTCCTCGTGACAGTCTTTTTGGCTGGTATCTGTGCCCCTCCTTCTCCTCACCCTCCGGGCTCCTGCCATCCCTGAGCAGGTTCTGGTAACCATTCATTCATTCTTGTCAGTTGGCTGCATCTGAACTGAGGCATGGGTTCCTGCTTAATCATCATCTCAGTGAGCATTTATTTGCATTGTAAGCTTTTCCTTTGTGAATTATGAACAGAGGTCAGGTGGTGAGGACATAATTTGGAAACCTGGGCATCTTTAAATGTATTTCTTCATTTGCCCATTTTTAACAGATATTTATTAAACTATCTTTTTTACCTGGCCTGGTGTAGGTGTTAAGGGTCTAGCAGTGAGCAAGAGAGGTCTCTCTCTGCTCTCAGTCATGAAACTTCTGGGCCCTGGAAAGGATCTAGATGGGCAGCCAAGCCCCTCACACTTAGCATCCAATTTAATCCTCACAATAGTCCTTTAAGAAACTAATTGATATAGGGTTTGAGTACATTTTTTTAAACCCAGCATAGTCTTCAAAGGTGGTCCTCATGCTTGACTCTGCAACTTTCGATGTTGTCCGCTCACTCCCTTACTGGAGTTTTTCTTCACTTCTTAACTACCACACCCCATATACACACATTCTTACCCCTTACCCATGGTTCCTCAGCCTTCCCCCACCCCTCCCCCTTACAGTTACTACCAGTTTAGATTGGCCACAGTTAGTGGCCTGTGGGCCTTACTGGGTTGATCCCCAGTAAGTTAGTTTCTCCCAGATCCTGTTTTTTTACTTTTTATCTCCTTTTTAACAGTATGCTGATCTTCATCTGTCTCCTTGGCTCTGGCTCTTCTGTTTCCAGTTTCTCATTGGTGATTTATCTGATCTTGTATTACCACCTCTGGCCTCTGGCGCCACACATTTGCTGATAAATGCTGGCTTACTGGATTATCTCCTCCCTTACCTGTGAGGAGGCTGGTCAAAGCAGCAGAGTTCGAACTCTATGGGTTTCTAGGAACCAACCAGGGGCATCCTGAGAATCAGCTGGAGCACCACTTCCTCATCCCTCCTTCTGCCCCAACCGTTGATTACCATGGGAATGTTGGGCATTATTTTAGCCAACATTCATTTTGTTTTCCTAGCTCAGCTCACATTTTTCTCAGGTCATGGAACCGTGCTTCTGTCGCTGACAAAGAATTTCACAAAGACCTCTGTCTTGGATGATGCATTATCTGTCAATGGAAGTCCTGGTCTATTTTTCGTTTTCTTGGGGAGGCCTCATTAGGTGGAGGAGGAGAACCAGATTGAAATCCAAACTCCAACCAGGTGAACATGGGCAAGTTACCCTCCTTCTGCATCTGAACATTGAGGTTGATAATATGGTTGTGAGGATCTGCTAGATTCTCTATGTACAGTGCTTTGCGCCCTGCCCGACATAGAAGACGTGTTCAGTGAATGTTGGCTGTTGCTGTGAATGTGTGTCCCTGTTGTGAATTAGTGGCTGGGGGAAGATGAAGTCGGATCAGAGTTTGGGAGCTCTGTCTTTGATTAGTAAGACAGGGGGTTGACTCCTGCCTGCTTTGAATAGAGGACACCGTCCTTCAAGTCGCTTCTCTTATCTAGCTGTAAAAGCAACTATTTACTGGAGGCTTTGGCGGTAAAAACATTGCTCAGGTTCAAGTACTTGGCCTTATCAGCCTGTCGATTATATTTTTCATGTGGTAGCTCAGGCGGTCCCTACAAAGACTAAATTTTCCACAAGTTGTATTTATTGAATACAGTTGATTTTCTTTTCCTCGTTTTTGTTCTGATTAGATCTGTTTGCCACCCCTTGTTTCCTGTCTCTGGTCTACAGATGTTTTAGTAGACGACAGTTTTATGTCGGTGTCCTCAGTGAGAAATGCTCTTCAGGTGACAGAAAAGTACTAAAGATTGTCTTGTCCCGTCCTTGAAGCACAGACTCAGAGCTGTGTCAAGGGAGTGAGGTTAAGAAAGTCTTTGATAAGAGTTCCTACACAATCCAACGCTGACTTTGTTTCCTTCTCCAGGACCTACAAATAGAACGAGAGAGGAGTTCATATAATATATCTGGTGGCTGCACGGCGCTCATTGTTGTTTGCCTTTTGGGGAAGCTGTATGTGGCAAATGCTGGGGATAGCAGGTAAGCAGATTCTCTGCCTGGCTCTTACTGATTTCCAATGCCTTTGATAATTTCTGTCTTTTTTAAAAGAATTAAATGATTGGCAATAGATATTGATTAGATATTGAGAGAGGATCCTTCTACATCCGAATAAAATGCATTTAAGATGAATCATCAGGGGGCGCCTGGGTGGCTCACTCGTTAAGCATCTGCCTTCGGCTTGGGTCATGGTCCCGGGGTCCTGGGATCGAGCCCCGCGTCGGGCTCCCTGCTCGGCGGGAGGCCTGCTTCTCCCTCTCCCACTCCCTCTGCTTGTGTTCCCTCTCTCGCTGTCTCTCTCTCTCTGTGAAATAAAGAATAAAATCTTAAAAAAAAAAAAAAAAAAAAGATGAATCATCAGGCTGGTGTGAAAAGGTAAAGGTTGTCTTCTACTCGCCCATGGTAGCCATTTGCGTATATACTTGTGATGAATCTATATACCTGTGATTACTACCTGTGGCCAATCTAAACTGGTAGTATCCAAATGTTTTTTGACTGCAGAAGCATAAACCATGAGAGTGAGAGGAGGGAGGAGAGGGATTTGAATGAAGGGGTGTTTGGAAGGGACCCGGGAGGGCTCCCCAGCTGGTTCCACTTCTGCTCAGTGACTTCGCTCTGTCCCCTCCCAGAAGCCCATGAGTTTCTCCTTTTATGCACAAGCCCTTAGAGGCTGTATTCTCCTCTTTTCTGGGCTCAACTGTAAGGAATTTTGGCCAAGAGATTATGGTTAACCCCTACTCTATCCAGCATTACTGGGAATAAGATGAATTTGGCTTTTATTTTAAATAACTGATGTGTCCTCGGTTTAGGTGCAGGGAATTTTACAATTATAGACTTTGTGAAAAGTGCTCTGATATGTTTTACATACTTCTCTGCCCCTTTATTCACAGCACATGTTGACTTCTTGCTAAAGACTGACTCTTTGTTTTGAAAGCAGTCAGAGTACTGGACTCTGCAAGATGTCCTCAGAGGACGAGTGATTTCCCTGCACAGTCTGTGGTCTTAGGATGCCCTCATTCCTCGGTCCCCTCCCTCTGGGTCACGTTCCTCTTCCAGCATCCCTGCTTGCTCTGGCCCTGCTCCAGGTCTGGCCCCACATCCCCCCCGCTTCCCTGTCAACATCAGGTCCTGGCTGAAGAGGGACTCCCTCAGGCAGCAGAGGAATTTACCTTACTTTTACTTCCATTTACAAAGCTGGAGAGCCTGTGGGGGTCTTAATTCCCTCTAGTTAAGCATCCTTTCCCGAGTCTTCCCACTGAAGAGCCCAGAGTCAGAGAGAGTGAACTTCCAAGGCAGCAGTATTTGGGGTTGGACAGTTGATGGGTTTTGAAGGTCTGTTTATTTTTACTGTGTACGTGCATTTCCATTAAACTCTATAAGATATCTCCATTTCAACATAACATTGTGCTAGGTAAATGGAAGTGTCTATAGGATACCATGTGTATCCCATGGTTTCTGTTCTTTAGTGTCATGTCAGATTCCTGGCAGAAGATAGACTCCTACTCAGGTGGGTCAACTGAATGAAGGAGTGAAAGGAAACCTGCTAGGAGCACTAGGGCTCAGGCAGACATTTACCACCTAAGGCCTGCAAGGGCCCAGGGAGGATTTACTACAGCAGAGCCCAGGAGAGTGGAGTCACGAAACACTTGGACTTCTTTCTCTTCCCATTCCCCCCTCCTGCCATCTCTTGCCAGGGCTTCCCAATGGACAAGCCCAGCTGGGAGCCCAGCTGAGAGCCAGGTGACAAGTAGCCCAGAGAGTAGTGGGCCTAGAGGTCAGCCAGGCAGGGCATGCACACAGACCAAGACGGCATCTCTGGGGTAGGGGCAAGTGGAGGGTAGTCCGCACAGCTGCTCCTTCTCCTTTCCTTCTCTACCCCAGGGTTTGAGCTTCTCAAAAATAGGAATCCCCAATCTTCAGGGGCCTTTAAGACAGGCACTGAGGAGCTGGCCTATGGGCCCGTTGTGTTCTGAGCAGATCAGGAGGTGATGCCTTTCCGCTCGGAGGGAGACTGAATCAGTGATTGAGCTGTTGCTTTCATAGTCCTTTGTCTTTATGGCTAGCTCCACACCCTTGGTAATGACTTTGCTTTTCTAGCCCTTCCAGTGAGTAGGGAGGTGACAGAATGCCTTGCGCCCTGGGGACAGGTCCACCCATCATCCCAGGGAAGCACCTCGCACCAGATGATCTCCGACTCAGAACGTAACCCAGCTTCTGGGCCCAGAGCATCTCCATGTTGGATTATCCTCCCCTGTGCCTTCTCCTCTTCCAGGCTCCAAGCTCTTTAACGTAGGCACTTACCCAGCCATGGCCTTGACCCCACTTCACAGAAGCTCTAGGGCCCTGTCCGGGACCTGCCAGTTTCAAGTACTCTTCTTCTGGGATCGTCTTCTCCCGCCCCTCCCCCACTTTTGTTTTTAAAGTGCCAATTTCTAGACCAGATCTTGAACTCCTCATCTATAAAAATGGTGGTGGTGGACTAGATAATACCTAAAGTTTTTGGCATCCTATAGGTTATCCCATGAGGAGTGACACTTTTGGAAAGTAAAGTGATGCTATACTGTTGATTTTTTTTGGTAATTTTTATCCTTCTTAGAGTTGTTTTTGAAATAACAGTATAATACAGGTCCCGTGTTCCTAAATGTTGATAAAAGTATGATGTTTTACAAGTTTGTTCGCAATAATTTGAAATGTCTAATCGGTACTTTTAACCTTATTAAAGCTATAAAGTTCACACATGTACAAATTATCCTATGATAAAATAGTATCTTTAAAAACCTGATAAGTTTAATTACATGTGTAGTGTTCCAGCTCTAGTATCCAGATATGAATTTGGGGTTTTATGGCAGATTGGTTGGGTTTGCTGTTCATGTGTGGGTCATGTCATATAGAAACCTAAGAGCAATAGGAGTTGTTATTTGTGTGCATGATCTAAAGGATAACTTACAGGACACTTACTCATTAGGTTGCTATTTTCAGCTCTTGTGTGAACAGATATTCAGTATCATCTTAAGTAGGATCACTGCCTAGTTTATATACTAATAATATATTATAGGTATTTGAGTTTACAAAAAAATATTCAGTTATTCCCAAGAAACAGCAACTAAGTGAATTCTGATCAGACTTACATAAATGTAAGTCCATTATCACTTATGGGCAAGTAGTCACGAATCTGAGGGCTGAATCTAAACAGATGATTAGAGCTGACAGAGGTTTCTAGCAACAGGTCCCTGATTAATTAGGTGCTGTTTTTTCTTCTTTATTGCCAGATATTGGCTGCTGTATGTTTACATTAAATCTTGACAGCTTTGAGAGTGAAAGCAGATCTTTGTCGTAGGTTCACTACCCCATAATTCTTCACACTCAAGAGAAGAGAAGGTTCGCTCTGGTTTGATTCAGAAGCTGCTGGTGGTCAGGAACTATTTGCTGAGCTAAGTAGTGAGCTATGAATGATCTGATTCACCATCAGGCACATATGTGTCAGGGGTTGTATTCAGGAAGAGCTGCCTCATGTTGTTTGTGGCTTAGTGGTTTCTGAGTCAATGATTACCCTCCGTGTAGGATGGTCCACAGTGATGCCAAGTGACCGTTGCAGAGTCTGGGACAGACTTGCCCTTCTCTTTTCATCCAAGCTAACCAGCCAGAGAGGAACATGCAATAACTACTTGATGCATGACAGTTGCTTTATTTTTCCTAGGCATAGGCAGCCAACTGAACACCTAGGGGATTGTGAAGGACTAGGAAAGAAGCAGATGGTGGGCGGGTTTTCACTTCAAGCGAAAAAGAATTGGTAGCATGCACATGTCACGCAAAGCAATATGCAAACTATCACCCATTGTGTTTGAGTCATTGGCTCCTTAGGGCTCTGAGTGATTCTTCAGTTTAAGGAGATGCTTTGACTCCATTTTAGGTTATTTCATTTCATTTCTAGAGAGCTAAGGAAGCAAAGCTGTTTCCACTTATTTCAAACATGTCTAAAAGTTTGGCAGCTGAGACTAGGTGAACTCATTCAGATTAAAGAAAACCATTTAAGATTTGTTAACTTGGTGACTCCTCTCTTGCCCGATTTATAGTAACAGAAGCAGTCAGACATCTAATAAGTGCTGGGCACATGTTAAATACTGTAACATCACAGCAATTTAGTGAGAAGTAGGCCTTGTTAAGATCAGATAAGGATACTGAAGCACAGCAAGGTGAAGTGATCTGCCCAGGGTTCCACAGCTTCTAAGGAGCAGGACTGCCATCCACCCAAGCCTGGAAGTTAGAGCACCGTATTCTTAATGAATGCACTCTACCCTGGGATTTCCCATCCTTGCTAAGACCCACAAGGGTTTTTGCTGTTGTTTACCACATTTTAACATCTCTAAAATCAAGAGATTCTAATTATCATTTTTTCTTTGCTTTTTGTATGTAAAATGATGACATACTTTATGATTAGTGGCATCTTTGATTTCACCTAAAATGGTTTATGCGGTGTCATTGAGGAGATGGCTGCACTTAAAAGCTATTTTAAATGCATTGCAGTCATGAGGCAGATAAGCTTTGTGTGGTCCAATTCATTCATTCACGATACAAGGAATATTTTCTCAAAATGAGGGAGGCTACCCGTTTCCAAAAGCCCCAAAGTTCTCTGAGACCATTGTAAATTTTGTGTTTTCATTTTGATGATCATCTATTGAAAATAAGCATTTTCTGGATTGCCTGGCTGACTGTCTTGTAAAAGATAACTGCCATGAATTCAGACGCCCATTTTGTCATGTTGAGGGTCCTCCTAGGAAAGGATCAGGAAGGTCACATGTGTTCACGATGTAGCTCTATCTATAGGAGTGAGCAAGCATTCCACTAATTGTCCTTAAAATGAAGCCAGTAAGTCCAGCCAGGGTGGTTTCTTTCCTTTCTCTTTCCCTCATTTTCAAATGTCCAGAATTACCCCCCTCCCCCCGACATGTAATTTACAGCTTTCCATATCCATTCAGAGGTGA